TAAAACCTATGAGGAGCTTCCTTAAAAAATTGACTTGAAATGTTCTACTTGCAAAAACGTTAACTCTCTATGTTGGTGAGGGCTTTGTTTATGGAAAGGTTTAAGAAGAGACTAGTAGAAGTCACATAAAAGCAGAAACAAAAGATTTTAAAGTGAAAGCAATACTTGTGAGTATGTTTTATGAGTCTCAAGGTTTAAAAATTTCTTGTTATCATTTACCATCCTCTATTTTCCAGCAGTGATTAGCAAAATCAGGAAGGGTGTTTGATGAGTGTTTATGGCTGGCATTGAAAGTGAGGGCAAAAAATATCAAGACATAAAGCAAATATTAGTCTATGTAAAAGAAAGAAAAAAAGGCAGATTCCCAACTCATTTCATGAAGTCAGTATTTTCTAATACCAAAGCCAGACAAAAATCACAAGAAAAAAAACTATAATCAAATATCTCTTATGAATATATGCAAAAAATAGTTTAAGAATATTAGGAAACTGTATTTCACAACACATAAAAAAAAACTATTATACTATGATAGTATAATAGCCAAGCGAAAGACCCTTCCAAATGTGTGGAACTGTGCAAATGCCCATGAAATTTACTTACATTCAACAAAGTCTCCAAACCAGCATGCATTATAACTTTTCTCTATGACCCACAATAAGAAGCACATTATATATTGGGGCTTGCATGTATGCATCTGTGCATATGAAACAAAATTTTACTGAAGTACTTAACCATTATAAGAATCTATTCTATTTTATGTCATTCTTTAGATAATCCTAACAAACCCACTAAACTGATTTTATTAACTCAATAATATGTCCTGATACCTAAAAAACAGTGATCAAGAAGGTGAAAATGATTATTCTGGGTTAGAAAAACAAAGACAAATAATAAAATCACAAGTAACATACTAGTAAACACAATTACTAGTCAGATCAAGTCTTCTAAACATCTTTATTTTACTTGTGGCTTAAAATTCTCCCTACTTACCAATCCATCACTACATTGAAAAAGAACCCCCGCCCCTGCCATTGAAAAAGAATCAGCATTAAAAAAGACTTTTAAGTTTCATCTTCACACTTATAAATCAATTTATTAAAATCTAGCTAATGTAAATTGTGCTTGTCGATTTAATTTGGAGTTTATGTCACAACTCAACAATAAAAGAGATCAATAATTTATTGACATTGTTGACAGCAGAGTGAACAATATCTTGAACACCAACCAAAGTTTAGATACTAGATTATGAAAAGAGCAACTTCATAAAATAATTTTACCTATAAAAGAGTGTCAATGCATAATTCACTATTGCAAGAATGTGGAAACAACCCAAGTGCCCGTCAATCCATGAGTGGATTATTAAAATTTGGTATATGTTTACAATGGAATATTACTCAATTATAAAAAACGACAGTGATCTAGCACCTCTTATACTTTTCCGGATTAAATTTAAGCCCATTATCCAAAGTGGGGCACCACAAGAGCAGAAGAACGGGATCCATTTGTACTCACCATCAAATTGGTACTAACTGATCAACACTAGGTTGATCACATGGCAGAAATACTCTCTAGGGATTAGGGGGGTGGGGGGGCAAATCTACAACTAAAGGACACGGGGAACACTAAAGGGAGGGGAAGGGCATGCCTTTAACCCGCATTTGGATGAGGCAAAGACATAAAGTGTAACTATAATGTTTGTACCCTCACAAAACCCTGGAATAAAAAAAAAAAAAAAAAAAGAGCGTCAAAATATTGTTTCTGAGTCACTAAGAACTAAGTACCTGTGTAAATTTATGAACAAAACACAATTTAAATATGACCTTAAAAAGCTGAAAAATTAGATAACATAAGGAAATATGTAAAATCTATGAATGATCACATTATTGAATTTTTAAAAATTGAATCATTTAAGTAACATTTTTGTTTTCTTTCCTCGAAGTAACAATGCAAATCTTATACTACAATACATGAAATTTTTGTTGATATTTAACCTAATCAGCATGCCTTTCATTTATAGATTTACAGACTGCAAAACACTATCACCACAGTAGACCACTAAACCATATCTTCTCATTCTTATTAAGCACTATAACTTGATACTTTATATAAAGTTAATTCAGTCACACTGCTAACTAAATATTCCCTTTTGATCTATATATTTGCTGAAGCTAAAAGTTAAAACTACTACTTTATTCCATACCAATCTATCACAGGTTTTGTCCAAGCACTATTTATTTGTTACTCTGGTCTGTGACCTGAAACTACTGTGCCTCATAAAAGAGATCACATTTTGTCAACAAACATTAAGCTCAACACAATAGTATTAACTTTAAAAATTAATTTAAACCTATATTTTTCATAAACCAGAATGAATATGTGCAAATATTAAAAATATCTCTCTGAGCAATGGACAGAAGGTTTGTATCCCCCAAAATTCATATGTTGAAACCCTAATCCCAATGAAGTGGTATTTAGAGGTGATTGGGTCATGGGGGCGGAACCCTCACAAATGGGATTAGTGCCCTCATGAGAACCCAGAGAGCTCTAGCTAGCTCTCTTTCTTCCATGTGAGGACAAAATGAGAAGTTGTCAGTCTGAAACCTGGAAGAGGGCCCTCACCAGAACTTGACTATGTTGGTACCCCAATCTCAGACTTCCAGCCTCCAGAACTATGAGCAATAAATGTGAGTAGTTTAAGCCACCCAGTTTCTAGTATTTTGTTAGAGAAATCCTGGCTGACTAAGACACTCTGCCAAAAAAAAAAAAAAAAGATTTCTAAGCAGAGCTTCCTGCCTCCATCCCACTATGAAGGATTTAGTCTCTAGCTCCTTCTCACAGTAAGTAGTGGATTTGCATTACCTGGATGTACTTATGCTCTGCCAGCCCACCAGGTACTTTGGTAAGCTTGTTGTTGTCCAAATGAAGCTCCCTCAAATGAGGTGTGTTGGCCAGAGAGCCATTGTCGACAGAAGAGATGCTGTTGAAACTCAGTCCCAATCTACCAAAGAAAGCAGAAATGAATGCAAACACTACACATGGATGCCTTTCCTATAGGCATTGTGTGATTAATCAAGTCAACAGAAAAGCATGTTTTTAGTTTTGCACACGCTATTCCCTCTGCTTAGAGGGCATTTTCCAACCTCTCTGTGCCTGGACAAAGCTCATTTTCTCTTAAGGTCTTAGGTCAAAGTCACCTTCTTTGAGACTCCTCTGACAGATAATGACGGGACAGGTACCCCTTGCAAATGCTTTATAGCATTCTGTGGTCAACCTCTTACAAAACTTAAGGGATTGTGTTTTAAAAACTTGTGTACTCGTGTGCCTCTCCTTTGGAATAGTGACTGTCTCGAGGTATACCTGATAACTTAACACAGTGCTTGACATGCTCAATAAATAACTATTGAATTGATTTCTGTGTGTAATGAATATAGTAAATTCATATGAAAGAACTAAAATAAATAGTATTATCACTTTGGTCACTTTGCAAATAAAACAATTACACATTTATCCTGTAAATTTATTCATTGAAAATAAAAGGTACAGAGTTCTAAAAAGCCAATAAGCTTACCCACTAGAAACAGAATTAGAATTTTGCATTAGTTCAAAAAAGTTCCTCAGTGACCATCTAACAGTCACTCTGATAATTTGCCTGGTGCCAACATTACTGGTTTCTGACCCAGATCTCTGTCTCTTGGCCCCTCTGACATTCCTCATACGTGACCTTCAAGTTTAATTCACTCAAGATTTTGCTTCATATTTTTTAAATTAAATGTGTAACATATGAGAGTTCTGCTGCTGTGATATCCCCTCATAACAAATGGCACTCCAGAGCAGAAGAGGTTGACTCGGAGACATGGCTGGTCTGTTTAACATTCTAAGCGTGAACCCATCAAAAGCAGAGTGATATCAATCCAGAAGTCAAAGAAGGAATACCAGATATGAGGCAGCAAGATAATGAAACAGAGTCTGAAATCTCCAAGGAGAGAAAGAGGAAGAATTTATATGCAATGGGAGAGAAATGGACATATTCTACAGGATGGTTTCTGCTAGTCTTCAGTTAGTTCTAATTGTTCAGCTCTTTTGGAATTTACATGTTGGCTTAGGTAAGCAAAGTTTCCTAATTTTAATTATGGCTTGATATTTCAAATAATGGAGGTTAAAGATGACTGACTTTATGCTATTAATAGTGCAGTTGGCTTTTCTTAGCTATTGATTATTAACCTGGCATCTTGGCTCAGAATATTTTCTTTTTCCCTCAATCTTGGGCATCCATCTCTTATTTCTCACCTTTCCTTTTTTACTTAAGAATTGTGTCTCCTATTCGACAATTTAAGTTCCAATATTTAATTTTGGACTAGCATATCTATTGGA